CGGTGGACGTCCATTGGCAACGACGCCTGCCATTCAACCGCCAGTGCCCAACCACTGAACAACCATAAATGGCCAGTGGTTGGTGATGGTTGGCTTTGGTTGGCAAATTGTAACCAACCAACGACCTGCATGCACCAAACATCAGGCCGCCAGAGTGGTCAACCACTGACCAACGATTCAGTGACCATGTTTTCTACTAGGGCAAAGTGGCAGTGACCCTCCTGTGGGAGACCTACGACTGCTGGAGGTTGTGGTACTTGCCTCCCCAGCTCATCAGCCTTATGCGACGCCTCGATTATTCGGTTCCCCTGGGCGGTGCTGATGCAGACACCGAACTGCATTCTCTCCTCGATGAAATAGAGAATGTCGATTGGGACTTGATACCGCGTCAAAATTTTCTCTCGTTCCTTCGCCGGCAACGCCCCTCCTTCTCTCCTGGTCGTGCTCATCGTGGTGCGGGGGACTACGCTTTGTTTAACCCCTGGACGGGATCGCGATATTCTTGCGACGAGGCGCGTCTGAGTCGACAATATGGAAGTCAGACGCCGGTTCCGGTTGAGATGCTCGTCTTCCTTGCCGATCCCCGCGAGCGCGACCTCTGTCCCAGAGAGCCTTTGCGTTCTCGCCCTGCGTTACCTATCTCACCGACTTCACTTCCTGTCGATCCGGCCGACCCCACTCTTCCCGTGAATGCTTTCATAAGGGCGACGAGAGCCCCTGGGTGCGAGGAGGTCAAATCCCCTTTGCGGTCCCATTTACTTCCAGTGGCCAGGTGTCAACCTCTATCAGAGACGAGAGAAGTCCCCTCGTCAGCTAGCCGCACTGAAAGTCTGTCCGTGCGCGCAGCCCCAGAAAGGAAGGGAATTCTTTTTCCCTTACCCCCTCGGTTCCTCCTGCACCGTCTTCCCCTGTGCACGTCCCAGCTCGTCCCCGTTCTCCTGTGGCTGTTCCGGTTGCCGCCCCCTTGTCACCAATCGTCGACCCAGTCCAATCGACCAGGAAAGGTTCGACCTCCCCGTCCTCTCCAGATGTTATCAAAAAGAACGACGACGCCGCCCGCGTTTATCGCACATTGCTCCGTGCTCACGGAATAAACGAGGGGGCTCTTCGAGGAGCGTCCCTCGGTGACCTGCGCTTACTGGCTCAGCTTGTCGTCTCACTTCCGAAGGAAAAATCCTTGGGTGAATCGTCCCATTGACCCATTGCCGATGGTAGCGTCCTGCCGATCCATGTTCGAATCATTGTCCTCTGAGGGTGTCGTCTCATCGTCGACACTTCCCTTCTGTAGTGCAATGCGCCTGTTAGGCAGAGACCAAGGTCCGACGGTCCAACACAAACAACAGCAACAAAAACAAGAACTGCCCACGGCACAGTGCTACGGAGTGTTCGAAGCTCCCTGTCCTCTTTAAGCGGGTTGGCGGCCCGCAGTAGCTCGGATCCCTGATAGGGGGGGGGCAAAGAGAAGGGCCCAGCCCGGGATCGGTAAATGGTGGTAGAGACTTGTAAAGGCGACTGCTCGACGAGTTCGGAGGGGTGTTTAGGTAAACCTGGTCCGATGGGTCGTAAATCCAATGCTCGAAGAGCGCATTGTGCACCTTATACCCTTGATAAGGTCTTCGACGGGGACGTCGCAACGTAGCCCGTCGGGAAAGAAGAAAACGTAGCAGCGCTACACCGTCGTACTGCCCGATGGCAAAGTACCAACAACGGATCGGTCGCAACCAGATTCCGATGGAACCAACACTGAGAAAAGCACCACTGGTGCACCAACACAAAAGCCCGATGGCAAATGACGTCACGTTGCGGATCGCAATACTACAAGGTGGGACCAACTCAAGATTAAGGGAAATTAGGATAGGGAAATAAAGGAAAATTGATAAGGAAAAAGGGGACCCCCGAGCGCAAAGGATAAAGTAATCTGTAGTTAAAGGGAATGTCTTGTGAAGGACGGACTTCAACCAAGGCGATATCAGACTCTGGCAACTCGGGTTCGATTGGGAAATAAAGGAAAAAGGAATGGGACCCCTGAGCGCTGAGGGATGCCGTAGGCTTAGGTAAAAGGGAGCGTCTTAGTAGAGACGGACTTCCACCAAGGCGACATTCAACTCCGGCAACTCGGGTTACCTTTACTGACTTGGTGGTCAGAGGGCTAAGGTATATAGAGCCCCGCCGGGGCGAGTACAGTAGCTCCCGGCTCTAGATTCTAGATCTAATTAGTAAATAAAATTAAATAATTAAAATAATCGTGCGCTTCGTCGCACACGCGTGTCCCCCAAACCCGGACTACAGTATCCAATTTTTTTCCTTTTTCACTTCCTTCCTCCCCCCTACCCGAGACGGGTATTGCACTACAAAGACGGACTTCAACCGAGGCGATATCAGACTCTGGCAACTCGGGTTACCTTTACTGACTTGGTCGTCAGAGGGCTAAGGTATATATCGCCCCGCCGGAGCCACTACAGTAGCTCGCGGCGCTAGATCCTAGATCTAATCTAATGTCAGCAAAATTAATGCCAACTAATTAACTAAATAAAATAAAATAATTAAAAATTAAAACTGTGCAATTATTCACACGTGTGTCCCCCAACCCGGACCACTTTTCATATCCAAATATTTTCCTTTCTTTTCACCCCCCTTTTCAGGTGCGTATTGCACTACATATCCCCCTTCCGAGCGCCCTTGCGCAACGCAACATCAACTTAAAATTGCCTCGTTCTCCTAACTCGCACTTTCCTCGGGCATCATGTCTCCGACCGACGATCATCTCGTACCGTCTTTCTGCTTCATTCACTTCCCGTTTCGCGATTCCCTCGCGGTGTGCGTAAGCGAGGGCAAGACGAAAACCCTCTCCGTATATCCTTAATTGACCCTGCTTCCCAACCACGCGTCGAATCCACCCGATCCGCAAGCGGACAAAGTCCCTGTTCCTAATTCCGACGAGGTGTGCTTACCAGGTAAGCCCCGCGCGCCCCGAGGTCTTCCTTTGGTGCCCGGGCTACGGAACCTTATCATCAGTATGTCTGATCCGGCTTTCCATCCGGGCTTCAATCCTCATTCCCCTGTCCGTCGATATGCCTTTCTCCAACACTGTCCTCTACTGAGTGCCAGTCCTCTTGAAGTAGACCTATCCTCCAGGCCTTCTCTCCTGTCCTCCCCTTGCCTTGCGCGCAACTCTGTGGCTCCCTCTGTACGACCTCTATCTCCGGCCACGCATCCCGATTAATCGTCAAAGCTCCCCGTCCCGTCCGTCCACCGGTCGTCGCAGCCGACCCCATCATTGCCGTCACGTGTAGCCACGTCCTGTCCACCTCGTTCGGCGGCCTACGGGACAGACCTTCCCTCCATTCCATTACTGGGGAGTGGTCCTGATTACCTCTCCCCCTTTCCTCCAGTTCGAGCCACATCGGCGCGTGTCTTCAGATTAAGCAGTAGTCCTTGAGGCCTCTCTATCCTGTGTGACTCATCATCTGCAAAATCTCCCACCTGAGCTCCCGTCACGCGCGATCCGGGTCCCTCCTAACACCGCGCACTTACCTCCGCGATCCTTTGTTCCCTGTTCGGGCGTACTGTCGCCGACGGCTGTCTTCTGAATTCCATTGGAGAATATCCCTTCAGCACGCCGAAGTTAAGTTTGTTGGCGCGCAGGGATTTTCTGCTTTCGTCCAATCGTCTTGTTTTCCCCATTCATTTCCCCCTGTAGTCACCAAGTGACAATAATCAGAAACGTAAACTCGTCTCTACATTCACGTCCGTCTCCGCACACTTTTCGCATGATGGACCGACACGCCGAGACTCCCCCGTAATCCTTGCACTGAGCCACTTGGTTTAGGGTAATTCTAAGAGCTGTAGAACAGGCTTCCCCCTTTTTTTCTTACCTCAGAGCCGTAGCTCACGTACGTGGGTCGGAGTGTTTCTGTGTCCCATGTCTAGATCGGAGTGATACGCGTTTGTGTTGCAGAGATGTCTCAGGTTCTCGTTGGGCCACTGTCCTCTCCATGACTTTCCAAGTTTCTCCTCCTCTTTAAGTTGCAGATTCCCCTTCTTTTGCTATCCTCAAACTCCTCCGCTTCCTACTCTTAAGATTTTCCTCTCCCTCCTCTTTTGGTTTTCCTCCTCTTCAAGTTTCAAAATTTCCTCCTCTTCTTATCCTCGAACTCCTTTTCTTCTGTCTTGCTCGCCGAAAGGCGACGAGCGAGACTGCATGCATGATTTAGAGCATTGCTGGGGTCCCCCTTCGCTCTGATCAGACAAGAAATGTCCATCCAGATCACGAATAATATTGAGCCTATGCGAAGTGTCGATCGTGATCCTGCCAACAGCTGCCTTGTCGAAGGTTTCTTGGACTAGCCTTTCGTTAGCGGTCTTAAGTGTGGCGCCTAGCGCGGTAGGTTCAAGTCGGTTGTCATTTTGAGGAACGATCGCGCTGCATAAAGAACAGCATCTTCAATCACCACCTCGACCGCACTAAAAACCCCAAAATGCGCTTGCACACGTTGCCACGTGTGTCTACTTGGTCGCGAAAATTCGTCTTCCGATCGAGCATGTCAGCGGCATTTCGCTGCGTAGTCAAAGAGGGTTTCCGCCCTTCGGCCATCTGTCTACGCCGTATGGCCAGTTCATGTCTCGCGAAGGATCCCTTCATCATATCCCTCGGGTCCGGTGCGTCTGTACATTCCCCCTCTGATTACCATTGTCGTCCCTTCGATCCCGGGGTCACACACCTCTGTCTTCCTTCTACATCCTCTTACTTGCAGTGCAAGTCTCCCCCTTCCTCCTCTTTTCACCGCGTGTGTTCCGTCCCAGTTTTGTTACCTCCCGACGGGTTACAAATATAGAGTGCTGTTAGCCTCCGGTCCGTCCTTCATTTCCCATTAATCTTCGCAAGCTCGCCTCAATTCCTCATCATCAAGGAAACACTGACTCCCCCGGAGTCTCAGAAGCGGTCCACTTTTTTTCCGGACAATATCGCCTCAGGTGGTCTGCACGCAGGCACTTGAATCATGAGGACACTGTTCTTTTCCTTGGGGTGTTTCCTCGAAACCCCCTTGGCCTGCTCTCGCAGAGCGGAACGATCGTTGGTCAAACTGGAATGTAGCTTGTCCTCTCGCCCATGCTGGAAACATTAAAATGTCAAACATTGATGTCCCCTGAAAGAAATACATGAAAGATTCTCGCCACTCTCGCTTCTCATAAATCGTCCCACCTCTTGATATTCACCCCACTCCTTTGTCGGGCCCCGTTTTGTCTTGCCCGTCGGTACTTGCGGTTCGAGTATCTTCTCGGCAGTACAGTAACACAAATTGAGACAAAACGAGCAAGGAGAGTAAAAGAAATGAAAGTAATCGGAAAATGAAGGAGGGGTGGTCGTCGATGGCTGTAGCAACAAATGGATCGTCGTGATTACAAGCTCGTAGAGCGTCGCCTTCTCTCCTTCGGAGTCGCTCGCTTGTATTTTGTACGCACCGGCGGCGTTCGTGCAGACAATCTTGGGTGGCGCTGGCAGCGCCATTTCGGTATGAACTACGCACGCCCGGTGATGGCCGTCCTGGACTCTCCATTACGCTTCTCATCCTCCCGGCAAGTCCCTGTTTCCCTTTCGCAGTTGCGGGTGTTCCCCCTTTTGGCACGGGGGTGAGCGCCTTATGGTCCTTCTCTTAGTCCTTGCAAACTCGCTGATCGACCTCCGCCGTGCGGGGTCGTCTCCTCGAGTTTTTCTCCGTCGGAGCGGTCCTCGGCCTTCGTGTTGACGTCGCGGTGCGGAGTTATGTTCCACCTTTGCCAAAAATAAAATAGACAAGCAAAGGAACCGACAAAATAAAAAAAATACAGAGAGGTGGGAACGGCAGCAGGAAAATAAGTAACGAGCAGCGGAGAGAAAGAGGACTCCCTACACCAGGTCGCTCGCTGGTAAAGACCCAAAATGTGAGCTTGGCGTCGTCAGTCTCTACGACCAACAGACGGTTCGCCGTAAACGAGCTCGTCGAGCGTACACTTCTTGATCTGTGGAACGCATCCGACACACTTGGGAAGAGCTCGACGACGTCGTCGTGTGACGCTGTGAGCGGCGTCCGGCGTGCCGGTCGGTGACTCTGCATCCTGCCGCCTTCTGACACTTCTCCTACTAATCTCGCGGTACTTTATGTGCAGTTGGCGTATGGAATTTCGTAGCTTGACGTCCTTGAGTAGTCGAAAATAAGAAAAAGACAAAACAAAACAACAACCACTTCCCTCTCCTTCTCGTATCCCAAAGCGTTGACAACGTTGCAGATTTCCCGCATCAGTTGCCCGCTTTCGGCGCCTCGCCTTTACCTCTTTCTTTTTGTTATGCACAATGATGTACCCGGATTAAAAACGATTCTTTCTCGTTCACCGCGCTGCTTTCCTCTGCGACGCCGAACGCGTCTCTTCGACGAACGTGCTTTCGTCCTGGTGGACTGCTGTAGTAGCTCGAGCCCGAGTTCCTTCTCGACCAGTTCGTTGTGGCGCTTCTCAGGCCCAAGGCCGATGGCATTCCATTTGCTCTCAAAAGGCGCATGCGAATTTCTCCCCTGTTTTCTGCTATTCTTCGATCCTTCCATGTTCTTTCGTGGTTCAGCCTGTCTTTCGACTCGCTGGCGCGTTCTCTGCCCCTAAGACGGACATCTGAAAGCTTGCAACTCCTCGTCCTTGGGAAGATTAAAACAAAGTCCCTCTCCTTCTCAACTTGATGCACTCGTAACAAATCAACTACGTTCGACGGTAATTCTCTTTTTCTTCCAATTCTCCGAGCCCATCGAGACGATTCTCAATTGCGAGTAGCCCGTGACACGGGGCGTCATTCACTGCCCCTTCGTATCCTTTCCAAAAGCGTTTATGCAACGATCGTGATCTGGTTGATAGTTGCGACGGGATGCGACTCTGTAGCAGTGTCGGAGCGAGAGCGGGGTTAAGTCGCGCTGCATCGAATAACGCGTTTTTGATCGCGACAACTACTGATTTCGTAACACGAAATCCACCTGCACACGTCGACACGTGTCTCCACCGACTTGGTCGTAAAAATTCATCTTCCCATCGGAGGTGCCCAAGGGTAACCGCTGCCTTTCCCTTCGAAGTCAAAATGGCTCTTCGTCTCTGACCCACTCGCTGAATCCGTGCGCTCCAATTTCTCCTCAGTATACGCAGTGGACAATCGGCACTGTCTCCTAGCTTTCGGACCTTCTCCGGGGATGCGGTCCATTCTCTTGCCCGTCCCCGACACGTACTCCTCTCCCTCGTCTAACAGTCAATTTTCTTTCGCCTGAAAGAACCACTCCGTTGGGCACGTACGACTTAGACAAAGTCTCCTCGGGACGCATGCTTTCACTTCCCTTGCTAATATCATCTTGCTCGTGCGGTGTCACTGTACCTCCTCCGTGTCAAAAACCTGATACTAATTTTTCCCCGGGTATCGGAGGTCCTCTTCCCTCTTTGCCGTCGTTCTCACCCGAATCCTTGACAATTCTCCCTCCATCCACGACATTATTCATGTGGCCCCCACCTTCAACCTTTCCTTCTCTATTCATTGAACCTAACTAGAGTGACGATCTTGTCACTGAAAACGTACAACTATTTTCCCCATTTTTTTTGTGTGAGGGATCTACTGTGTTCACCTCCCTTCCCTCGTCAATCAGTAGGAGATCTCCATCTCGAAAGGCCTCGCTTCCCCGGTGGAGGTGACTCGCATGTAGAAACACGACCGGTGATACTGTGCGCGAATAGGACCTACAGATCGCTTTTCACAATCCTTTCGTTTCCAACTCATTGAGACCACCAGGAGCACGTCGTGCCGTCGGCGCCATGATCCGAGCATATTCTCTCACTTAGGTTCTTCTTATTCCCCTCGCGTCCTCCCGGCGTGGTCCGGGGAGACGCCTCCAGCCTCAAAACAAAATAAAACAAAGCAGAACAGAAACATGAAAACGAAAATAAGAAAGAAAGGGGGTCATCGCTGTAAACTGGTAAGTACGCCGTTCGTGAATAAATGCGTTCGCGGGTGTGTCGATCACAACCGTCTGACCAACAGGGTCGTCCCCTTTGGACGGCATCCCCTCTGGCGATTTCTCAATCTCAAGTAGGCATGGACATTGTCCCTGCTCGGGGATCCTCTCGTTTGTTAAACGTCCGTCTCACGGCTTGTCGAGCCTGATCAACACATTCGAAGCGAGTTGACAAGGCCGGGGTTCGCTCTGATACCGCTCCCTCAATAGTTCGCTTTCGACACCCATTATATTCTCAAATAAATTACGCTTCACGCGTGTGTGGGCCACTGATCCCATTCGTAATTTCACGGGCATCCGGCGATTGTGCGTGTGTGTTCCAAATGTGTGTAGTGCCTCATCTCCTTCTGGCTCTATCTATGACGTAGGAACACCCGTCGTAGAGTCATGATCTCGTGCGTCTCTTTGCTCCTCCTCGGCCTTGCCCTGAATAGCGAGAATGCAGCAACGCGGGCGTCGGCCGTAACCTTGTCAAAGGCGGAATTGATCTCGATGATTATCGCCTCTTCAATGTCCTCCTTGGACTCCTCATAGACTTGCTGACCGACCTCCGCGGTGCGGGGTCGTGTCCCTAACGCCTCAAAAATAAAATGAAATAGAACAACACAAAAGCAATCACAAATAAAACAAAAACGAGACCGAACAGATATGAAGGTAAGAGTGAAGGAGGTGGACTTTCCAGCCTATGTTCCCGTTCTTCCAGCGTTCTTTTCTCGCTTGGCACATCGTTACGCGACTTCCGACCTGAGTATCTCATCACGACGCTCATCCTACTCGTGCGCGCGCTGCGTCTACTTGCGGGTTGGCTGTCTGAAGGCCCCTCACCTGGTTCGTTCCATCTCATCATTCTCTTTTTTTGGACCTTCAGGTCGGCTCGCTCTGCCCCGCGCGGATTACCGCACTGACACTGACATGTGAAATTCTTGGTTACCACTATCCTGATTGCGCTTGCGCGATCTGCGCGGGCAAGGATAATCTTTTCCTTCGGAAATACGTGACGGCCGCGCTGCGAGGCAATTGCTCAATGGGCTCCCATGTCGCGTCTTCGGGCGTATAACCGTACCATTCCACCTTCAGAATTAATTTCTCCTCGTCGTAGCCGTGGTCCACGATCTTGTCGATCACATACTCCTGACTCTCGGTTCTTTCTTCCTGCGTGTCCAACTGTCCTTCCCCCTTCCGAAGATCTTCCAACTCATTCTCGTCTCTGGACTTTCCGAACTCGCGTAGGTCTGGAGGGGTCTCCGCTGTCGGCGTTCGACCAACTAAATTATCCTGGTCCCCCGTCGTAGGCGCACGGGTGTGAGGACGTTCCTCGTCCTCCATTACCTCTCCTTCTTCGTTTAGCTCCGGCTCTCCCAGGAACTGTAGCGCTTGCCGTAGGCCATTTATTGGCGCATAGTCCATCGGGCTTGGGGCTAACTCCACCCTGTCTCGCGATATGCGTTCCTCCTGATCGCCAATGGCAATGACTACCGTATGTTGATCCGATCTTCGGACCTGATAAGGTCCTGTGGCGACTTGTGCCAGCTTGTGTTTCGGTTCGCTAGCTGTGCCGTGCTCCTTCCGAAGGAACACGTAGGACCCCGGTGGGATCTCATATTGCGGTTTGCGAAGGCGTGCGTCGAAATTTCGCTTGTACCGTGCCTGTTCTTTTCGCAGGCTCTTATCAGCGCCTCTCAACAGGCTTTCCAACCACGACGGCCATTTCAGGTAGTATGCTCGTGACGAGCTGAAATTCTCCCATGTTGGTTGCGCTTGTAACGCAATGTTTCTCGGCGCCCGAGCCAACACCAGCTCGAAGGGCGCAATGTTTGTCGTTCGATGAACTTGTGTGTTGTAGGCGAACGTCACAGCGTCGCTAAATAAGTCCCAGTCCTTGGGATGCTCTCCAACGTATTTTCGCAACGCGGAAGTCAGCGTGCGGTTAAATCTCTCAACTTGGCCGTTGGCTTGCGGGTGGTACGTAGTCGTGAACACATTGCGGATGCCGAGAATTCGGCAGACGTTCTGAAAGAACCGGGCCGTGAGCTGTGTTCCATTGTCGGACAGCAGCTTGACCGGCGGTCCGTACACGAATACTCAATGGTGAACGAAGGCTTGTGCGATGT